CAAGTGTTTTGGCATGCAGGGGGTTTGTGTCAAGAAATTTTTTACTATTGAATCTCAGAGTTAGACTTTTAAAAAATTGCAATATCTTTTTTCAAAAGAATGTAATATCTGATTAGAACAAAAATAAATAAATTAGGATGACAATTCTTTTTCGGCCATTTAGGATGACAATTAAAACATGACCATAATATATGGTCAGAGTTTTTTGTTTGTTAGGAAATTATTCTCTCATATAGTAAGAGAGAGTTATCTTATATTATAGATACATTGATAAACATGTCTTGTTATTTTTTATTTTATTTTTTTAACACATGATGAAACCCACCATGTCTTGGAGTCTATTGCATGAGAAGGAGTGTCTCTTATAACATGAGATTAGACGCTACCTTGTTTGTCAAGATATCATACTGGTGTGTTTAACTCCTTTCGATTATGGACCTTGTTTCTCTGTTCTGAAAGGACTATTAGTAGGAGATTTTAAAATATGAAGAGGAAAACTGGCAATGTGAAATGGGCCTCCTTCTGGACTCATTCATATCATAGTCTATCAATTTTAAGGCTACTACTTGGCCCAACTAAAAACTTAAAATGTGATTCTACTTATAATACTGTACGCAATTAATTAAGTTGCTGATTGTAAGATTAAGTAATTTCATTTAAACTTGTTTTTCAAGGTAAAGTATTTTAAACTTATTTTCAAACTCAAGTTACTTACTTGATTAACTAGTGAGAAATTCCTGTACTGATCATCTTTCAAAGTTGATATCTTCTAATCACCTTTTTGCTAATTACAAGCTCCTTCACATAATCTTGATGCAGTTAGTTGGTGATGTCATATTACCGGTATTAACTTTGGATAATGTTTTCTTCCTTTTACATGAAACAAGTAATTTTTCTACACAAACACAAAAATAGGCCCATCAATTCTTTTATTTTTCTTTTATTTTAAAAATAGTGGACCCCACAATTAGTTGTCTCTATGACATGACCTAAGAATTTTCTTACAACATAATATTTATTTTTCCCATTAAATTTTCTTTCTTTCTATTGTATATAAAAAAAATTAAAATATAAAAAAATGTTCAAAATTGATTCAGAGTTTAAAGACATGGTGCTGTTGTTTTATTACATCATTAAAGACATGAGAGATAATCTTGTATTTGAAACTCTCGCACAAATTTAAATTGGTGGCTAAGGCTACATTAATTGTTTTTATATATCTATAAAGGGTGCGCAGGTCCGCCTACTTGTGCTAAGAAACTCTACAAGACTTAATTAATTATTATTAAATGAGAGGTGGTGAAGATCGAATCTATGATACCAAAACTTTGATATAATGTAAAGAATTAATTTAACCCAAAAGTTTAAATTGTTAAGTAAAATTATATTAATAATTTTATACTTTTATAATACTCCTCATACTACGAGACTTGAAGGGTGAATAAACTTTGACAATGATATATTTAAGGGCAATGATTGTCTCCTTTTATAGGAGAGAAGAAATACTTTCTACACTCACATTGAATTTTGTGTCAAATATTTTTATTTTATTTTTTTTTAAAAAGAATGATGGCCCCACATCTTTGTTTGAGTAGGAGATAACTTATTTTTTCCTACAAAATGAGAAAAGTTTTTCTCTATATTTAAAAGGGTGAAATTTAGTGCCTAAACTAAAAATGGATGCTGTATCTAAATCAATATCCTGTAAGTCGCGGCATCAGTTTGTCGATTACCCTCCCATTGGACATGTTTAAAACCAACTTGTTCAATGATGCTTCTCAGTGACTGAATATTATGTGGTAGATTTCATAACTAAAAGCCACATGTGAATCTGACTCAATGATTATTCTTGAAAAACTACTCAAACAAGAATTAAAGCTAACCTAATGGCAGATATTCCATATGTCATGTTTATTGTCTTTTTGCTAAATTCATTTAATACTTTACAAAGAAGTGTGAGGCACCACCTTTGGGAGTTGAGACTTGAGACCATAGAATAGGTCTTTGTTTTAAGATTTGTCTCATATGCTAATGCACCTACCACTAGCACCTCACCAAACTTTGGACTTAGGATAGTAATGGGATAGAAAACCTACTTTCATTTTTTATTCCTATTATTTATATTTATAGGAATATAGTTTTTTACGTTACATGAGATAATTTTATACAATATAAAAAAAATTAATATGACTTACTTATTTTCTTTCTCTTTTTTTTTTTTGGTAGGTCTCACTTACTTTTTTTTAAATATTGTTTATCTAATATAAGATGAGAAGCAAATTTAATATGTTCCCAGCACACATAATCCATGAAAAGAGAGAGAGAAGAATTACTGAATTAATTTTCGAACATGAGAAATATATCCCCGTTATTTATTGGTGAATGAGGAAGATAAGGAACCTTTTGCTTTTCTATACCCATTACTCTTCCTTTTTCTTCTGTTTTTGTCCTTTTTTCATTGCATAATCAATCATTGATGTCATGTTTCCAGCCTATTTTCATCTCATTTAGCTTATTCAAGATTCTTTCTAAAAGAATTACGGAAAATATCATAAAGTTAGGCTTTTAATATTTCTAAAGTGAATGTAGATAAGTTATTTACATTCGCTCCTAAAACGACGTTATTTTGGATTGAAAATTTAAAAAATTATAATGAAAAAGACTATTATAACTTGAAATAAATTATAATTACAAAAATATCTTAATTTCTGCCTCAAAATAACGTCGTTTTGAGCTCAATGTAGATAAGTTATCTACATTGATTGACAGTAGAAAAATGAACCCTAAAAGTTATATCAAATTTGAAATTTTCACAAATGAACCATTTGATTTTTAATTTATTTTTATTTTTTTAGAAATATTTCAATCGGTCCATTGCTTCGCAACTAATCCGATTCGAGGTGGATCCAGGATTAAAGTTTTAAACCCCTCCCAAATGTGGTACTGAAGAGATTCAAACACATACTCTCACCTCCACTTACTTAGTTCTCATACGCCAACTGTGCTATCATTATTTGGTGATTTTTAATTTTTATTGACGTTCATAAAAGCATCTCAATATTCATTTTTTTATTCAATCAATCTTTACTACCACCCACATACTTGTTTTATCCAACCACTAACATTGACTAATTGATTCTCTGAGGCTGCGCATTATAAAAGACTAATCAGCGTATTCAACATGGAAATTGGATAATTGGGTGCTAGTCCTTTTCATTCAGAAGTTCAGTCACGACTTTCGATCCATATGACATATCAAGGGTTGTATCTGAAAGGTACATAATATTTCTAAAGGATCTGTTCGACAACACCACAATAATGGTATTGATGCTTTGCAGTTTGCAAGACCAAGCAACAAAAGATGGGTGAATGAAATTAGTAATTGAGGAATAATTATCTCAAGTTGCATGAAATAATTATCTCGTACAACAGAGACAAAAGAGTAAGTTCACTATTTTTTCTTTTTTTAAAAAAATGATGAACCCCACAATTTTATCTCTATTGCAACATGAGAGTAATAGATCTCTTAGTAATTTACCTTTTTCCTTTGTCATTGTAACAAACATGTGGTAGAAATTTTTGGCAATCCTTTTTGCTCTTAGTTACCAACAGCAGTAGCCTATACATAAAGTTGGGACATTCAAACACTTCAATGCTTGAGCAACTTTTTGTGGTAATTTTAACACATCTTAAAAAAATGAGAGAATCGTCCAACAGATAGTCATATAAAATGGGATGTGAAACAAGGATGGTGAGTCTAAATTGGATTGATGATCCAACTAAAATTTACCTTCATCTTTTAATCGCACCAATTATTGGATTAATGCTGTGATGTTGTTTTTATTCCATAGTTGCTCTTGTCTTTTTTGTTTTACTGCACCCAAGAATAGAAAAATCAAGGTCGTGGAAAATTTGGGTGATGTCATAAGTTCGTTTTGTCGTTGTAATAAAAAACTACAGAAATTAAAATGCTTTCAGAGACTGCTAGGACTTAAAGGTTAATAATAAGTTAATAACATAGGAATTATTCCATTTCTCTAATTTGTAAGGATGAACGGTCCTTTATTTAGTATGGAAAAAGTCGTGAGATGATTATTTTACTTTTTATATAATTTTATAATCAAATTAACAAAACAAACAAAAATAAACGAGATTTCATCCTTCCCTGTTTCTCTCCACATCTTAATTTTACTATTTAATTTAAAGCTTCAGTCTTCTCAGGTCTCAACCAAGAATATATACATTATTATCAATAGCACCTTTAACCCAAATTAATTAAGATAGGTGATAAATAAATTCAAATTAATCGGCGAAAAACATGGTTTAAATCATTAACGTAAAAAGCTCAATTTAAATATATTAGTAGTATAAATTTTAGCATTATGTTAACGTAAATAACTTATCTATATTGAGTCCAAAACGATATCGTTTTGAAACAAAAATCAAAAAAAAATTGTAATTATAATTTATTTAAGAATTATAATCATCTTTTTCATTATAATTTTTTAATTTTTTAATCTAAAACAACGTCGTTTTGAAAACGAACGTAGATTTATCTACGTTTACTTTAGAAACATTAAAGTCTGCTTTTTATCATAGAAAACTCTTCTAAATCATAGTATAAACGACGAAAATCCTTACTCAAATATTTCTAGTAAATAAGTCAAATAGCAACATCATAAAAAATAAAAATAAAAATGAACTCAGAATCTATTATTAGTGCAAAACTATTATTATTATAAAATTTTTTGCTTTAGCATGATCATAAGCTCACATAAAATCATTTAATTCCCGTGTAACTCATGTTTTTTTAATATGGCACATGCATTTAAAATAATACTAGCAAAATTTGTATTCATGCCTAGCCATTAGCTGAATCTAATTATTCCCGGATAATTAGGTCCGAATTGTCAGGTATGTGAATACTGGATTATAAGGATGAGAACTTTTTTTTTCATTTTTTCTTTTCTTTTGATATATTAAAGGTGGAGCCGTGGAGAGAAACACAAATTTGAGCTACCAAATCAGAATGCACACAGCCCCCGACCAAAGCCTTATTCAAACCCATTTGGTCTCATTGAAACCAATAGATTGCCTTGCTCATACCTGACCCACCCACCAGAACAGAAATTCTAGGAAAATCAAACACCTAAAGTTCCTTCCACCACAAATCTCAAAAGTCTAATAACAAAAATCCGAAAATGAAAATGAGAACCAATCAAGCCGATGCATAAAACAGTTTTTCTTTTCCCTAGATCTCATCACCCCTTGATTATCATCTCAGTACCTGTAGGCAGCAGGCTTGTAAGGACCCTCAACGGGCACACTGATATAATCAGCCTGTGATTGGGAAAGCTTTGTGAGCTTAGCACCAAGCTTGCCAAGGTGGAGTGCAGCCACCTTCTCATCAAGATGCTTAGGCAAAACATAAACCTTCTTTTCATACTTGCCAGTAGCCTTCTCCTTCCACAACTCAAGCTGAGCAATGACCTGGTTTGTGAAAGAGCATGACATGACAAAACTGGGATGCCCTGTGGCACAACCCAAGTTCATCAAACGACCCTCTGCCAAGACAATGATGCCAGTCTTGGTCTCAGGGAAAACCCACCTGTCGGTTTGAGGCTTGATGGTGATGCGCTTCACGCCAGGGTAATTCTCAAGCCCAAGCATGTCAATTTCATTGTCGAAGTGACCAATGTTGCAAACAATGGCATTGTTCTTCATTTTCCTCATGTCGTCAACCATGATAATGTCCTTGTTACCAGTGGTGGTAACAAAGATATCAGCATAAGCCACAACATCTTCAAGGGTCAGAACCTGAAGACCTTCCATGAGAGCCTGAAGGGCACAAATAGGATCAATCTCAGTCACAATCACACGAGCCCCAGCTTGCTTCAAGGCAGAAGCACAACCCTTGCCAACATCTCCGTACCCACAAACAACAGCAACCTTCCCAGCAATCATAACATCGGTGGCCCTCATCAACCCATCAGGGAGGGAGTGACGGCAGCCATACAAGTTGTCAAACTGTTACAAGCCATAGATCAAAAGATAAAAACACACAAACTTTATTGTCAGACCAGAAAATGACACACCAAGCAAATTCGAATCATAATCACCAGCAATCCCCACCAAGTAATATATATATAAATTCAATGACCCACTTGTTGTTTTCAAGAACCTAATCAACACTAATAACTACTACTTATTACACAACCTGAACCCCAGACATATCAATAGCACACCAAACCCAGTCATTAAGTAATACCCAACACTCCAAACTTCTCTCAAGACATAAATCAAACAGTTGACAGATTCAAAACCCAAAAGTCAAAATTTAACACATTCAACTAATGCTAAAAAAACCCACAACACAGGACAGATCTGAATCCAACCCAAAATCTTAACTAATAAAAATCAACAACTTATACCCAAAAATCAAACCAAAACCCCAGATCCAGAAACAGATCTAGCGAAAAAAAAAAAAAACTAACCTTGCTCTTGGTGACAGAGTCATTAACATTGATAGCAGCGAACAAGAGAGTTCCATTAGCTTGCATCTGATAAAGCCTCTTAACTCCAGTGGTAGTCTCTTCAGAAACCCCAACGAGCCTCTCCTTCATCTTACGGTACCTCTTAGGATCGGTCTTCAGCCCATCCCTGATGATGGTAAGCACGATCTGAAACTCAGCGTTATCCGTTGAAGCCGGGTCGGGCACCTGACCCGTTTTCTCGAAGAGCTCCTCGGCCTTAACACCCTCATGGATGAGCAACGTGGCGTCGCCTCCGTCGTCGACGATGAGGTCAGGTCCGCCGCCGGGACCCCAGTCAAGGGCGCGTTCGGTGCACCACCAGTACTCCTGGAGGGTCTCTCCCTTCCAGGCGAAGACGGCGGCGCTGTCGCGAGCTATGGCGGCGGCGGCGTGGTCCTGAGTGGAGAAGATGTTGCAGGAGCACCATCTAACCTCGGCGCCGAGCGCGGTTAGGGTTTCGATGAGGACGGCGGTTTGGATGGTCATGTGGAGTGAGCCGGTGATCCTGGCACCCTTGAAGGGCTGGGCCGGGCCAAACTCGGCCCGGCAGGCCATAAGGCCCGGCATCTCGACCTCAGCGAGCTCGATCTCAAGGCGACCAAAGTCGGCCTGAGAAAGGTCCTTGACCTTGTACTCACGGCCAGTTGTGGTTTTCTCTACCGACAAAGCCATGATGCTGATGAAGAAGAAGAAAGATACAAGGTAGAGAGAAAGAGAGAGAGAGAGTGTAGAGGGGATATAGTGATATGTGTGAGTGTGTGAAGAAGAAATGAGTGTGTTTAAATAGGGACTTTGGGAGTTGGTGGTGTGTGTGTTGTTGAATGTTGATTACTTATTTTCTCCACTAAACATAATTCAAATTATGTTCAACTCCTTATTTCTCTTTCTTTTTTCTTTTTTTCTTACTTCTTTCCTTAGTACTTTCAAAGAAAATCTAAAATTATTTATTATGCTAAGAAAATATATTTGATTTGGTATTCAAAACTTACCTACTCTATATACAAAAGGATAAAATATTAAATATTATGTAAGTTGTATTACAACTGAATTTTTTCCGACAAAGTTTTCTTAAAAAAAATAAACCTTTAAATATTTTTCTTAATAGTTAAAGAATTGTTAAATGAGATAAGAGACATGAATAAAAAAAAATCGAGTAAAATAAAGAATGATTAGAGACTCTCTTTTTTTTAACTGAAAGTCTTGAACTTGAGTAATATTAATAGAGAAAATTATTGGTGATAGAGTCACCGAGAAATTAAAAAAAAAAAAATCCTTCAAAACTAAACAATTTGTGAATGGTATCAATACTTATAAATAAGAAAAAACTTGAGCGATGATCGGTCCAATAGATATTGGGCTGGGATGACCAGCCACGGTTGAAGATGAAGGATATTGACGAAAAGAATGAACGTTGAATGGAGTCTTGCCGAGATGTTGGGTTGCTTGGCGAGATGGGAAATGCGCGAAATTGATGTTTGCATAATGTGGAGGAGACTGTGGGGGTTACATGTAAGGCACTCTGATGCTCAAGTCAGTTCAATATTCAATAGGGTTCGAGTATTCAAAGAGAGATATCATATATGATCTACATGCCTCTATATTTACAGTGTGGAGTGTCTTACTTCATGCCACCTTTTAGTGGTGGTGTCAATTCTCAATAGTATAAATGGGTGGCCTGTCACAGGCTATTCCTTGGTCTAGAAGCCTAGAGTCGGGGTAGTTCTCGTAGATGTGGTGGCAAGCTGGGGCTGCATTTCATTCATTGGTTTCAAGTGGTGGCCAAGTTACCCGAGCTGCCGATCTTGATGTTGATGTTTTCTTTCATGTTAAATCACTCTGGCTTGCTAGTCGACTAGGTGAGATTCCCACGGTTTGTACGTGGGATGGGTGAGTTGCCTTGTTGGTCAAGTTTGGAGTTTCCCGGGCCTTCTAGGCCTTTATTGGATTGGGCTTATAGCTTGTTGCTCACGCCACAGGCATAAGTAGCGAGATATATATTCATGTGAGATGTCAGTTTACTTGTGGCGAGATGTTGCTGGGGTGTTCATCAACCAATCCAAACCCTAAATCGCAGTGACTGAACCGAAAAATCAATAATCGAATTAACCGAAAGTCGAAAAAAAAAACCATAAATTGTAATTGGATTGGATCGGTTTTTGGTTTGTTTAGTGAAAATCGATCCAATCCAAATCGATCCAATTTATTAATCTCTCCTACCTACTTAGGCCAATTCCCCAATCATACTCCAAAAAATTCTGAACCCGAGACTCATTAACCATCAGCTAAATCCAAGAAAATTTATTGCCACATTCTAGCAATTTTTCATTACTACCGTCAATGTGACTTCAACCGTTGGATATGATACTACAAAACCATGATTTTTTTTGCTACATAAATATTGCATTTGTATTGAGTTAAGGATTTGTTTTATTTAGTTTTATAAATTTCACGTGAATATGATACTACTATAAAACTTATGTGCCAAAATTTGAAATAAAAAATTATTTTAAGATTTCTCTATATTAGTAATTGAGAATAAACTTCCTTACTTTGCCATTGTCCAATTTTCCTTCTTATACAACAAGTGATAAATACTTGAAATCGAGCTTATCCAGTTTCAAGTTTTTGTTATACTATATTGAAAATTAGATTATCATTTACTGATACTTCTAGATTGCACAAGAATCACTTTTACAAACTTTACAAAGCCAATACATACAAATGATATGTTATTTGCACAATAATCATCATAAAAATTTTTGGCTTTTCAAAAAATCAAAAACTGATCCAATCCAAATCGAATAAAATTTAATTGAATTGGATCGGATTTGAAAAAAAAATCAAACTGAATGGATGATTATATTATCAAACCAAAGGGATTGGATCAGATGATTTTTGCTTCCAAAACTGATCCAATCTAGACCACATACACCCCTAGATGTTGCCATGTATTCACTATGTCTTGCACTTGAGTGGATTTTGGTAATCAATCATTTCGCTGCTTAAAAAATGGTTGATGTGACGTTAATCCGTTAGTGGCATTAAACGCAACCTTCATTATGTGTGGGTTAACATATTAACCCTTTCGCCTCCTGCTGACACGCGTCCCTTCCATTTTCACCACCATTTCACTTTTTGGTGTGCTTTTACGCATATGCCCTCTGTGACTTTTTGAGTTTTAACCTCTCTTTCGTTTCTTCCATAATCATTCCCATTCTCCTTGTGAATTTACTTTCGTGACACGTTGATGGTTGTAATGCCCCGCAACTTGCAAGAATCAATGACTGTCCCCATAAACATGCACGAGACTTGTCAGCATGCTTTGTCCTCACTCACACACTTCCTAGGAAAACTTTTCAGGAGGTCACTCATCCCAGATTTGCTCAAAGTTAAGCACGCTTAACTATGTAGTCCTTCCATTCCGGTCTACCGAAGAGTAGATGCATCTTGTTAGTATAGGTAGTACCAATTAATTCATATAAGTTATCCCCAACTGTACTGTCATATACCAACACAGTCTTTGAAATTTATCTCTTTCAGGTGTTGATTTGATTCATTCATGTACGCCCCAGCTACAAGATTTGGCATGAGCAGCTTATTATCTGTGTCATTTTGCACTGGCTATCACTCTCTGCCCCTGCTAGCCCTTGGGATGTTACATGCCCACCAGCTTCCGTCTGGTTCGTCCTTGAACCGCGTCGTACTGGGAGAGAGGATCTGCTCTGATACCACTTGTAATGCCCGATCACTTGCAAAGATCAATGACTGTCTCCACAAACTAACACAAAATTTTCAGCGTGCTTTGTCCTCACTCACACACTTCCTGGGAAAACTTTCCAGGAGGTCACCCATCCCAGAATTGCTCCAAGTCAAGAACGCTTAACTATGAAGTTCTTCTGTTTCAAGCTACCGAAAAGTACATGCATCTTGTTAATATAGGTAATACCAATTAATTCTTACAACTTATCCCAAACTATACAGTCCTATACTAGCACAATCTTTGGAATCCCTCTCTTTCTGGTATTGATTCGATTTATTCATGTATCTCCAGCTGCAAGATTTGGCATGAGCCGTTCATTGTCCGTGCCCTTTCGCACTCCCAGCCCTTGAGATGTTACAATGGTGATTGGCTACTTGCTTCAAGCTCAGATTTCTGAAGAATTTTCAACTCTCTTCAACTATATATACAACATGTATTTCTCTTCTTGTATTTTTACCTTCATTGTGTTGCATTTCTAGAAATTTGCATGCTGGTATTGTCTGGGTAGGAGAATGTATTGTTGATAAACCCGGACCGATCCTGCCGGGTCGACCAGGGAACCGATAAACCAGTTATATTACCAGTCCGGGTGAAGCAACGGATCGGCCAAACATTGAAACTAATGCAACCCAGACAGTTTTGATGAAAACTGGTGACTTGACCTATTTCATAAAAAAAATATTATTTCCAAAATAAATTTTCATAAAGGATATCATTTTTGTAAATTCGCAAACGGTTTGTTTTCTTTTGAAACATTTGAGTGATCTGTTACTTTACTTATTGACTTACATAGGTTATGTACTTACAACACTAATATTATTCTGGTTATGAACTATGCAAAATTTTTGATTAACTTTATAGCTAGAGATGTCGTCTACAGAATGTGAAGCATCAGTATCACAAGCATTATATGTTTGTTTGATCCTTTATTGGATAATGATGTACATGTATTTGAGTATGTTTATATTTTTTTAATATAAATTATAGATTTACATATGCTTATTGGGTCATACAGTTAAACCAGTGACTCAATATTTCGATCGGGTACCTGGCCAATTTTAATAATATTAGTTGAATGTGTGTTTTTCGACATTACTTTTCCTTCATTCTCGTTAGTGAGCATTTTGTTTTTCTGGGCATTGTGTCTCTTGTTTCTGGGTTTATTAAGTATTTTTCCACCTATTTGCTAATATGTATTCTAAACAACAATCTTTTGCCTTTTTGGAATGGTTGAGAGATCCAACTCAGCCAGTCAAGAACCTAGGCTAGAACCCAATCATGTTAAGTCCTTCAACACCGATGAATGGTGGCTGATTGCAGAGGGAATATCTCTATGGGAGAAGGCTGAGATCCTGACGACCTTTCCTTTTGCATTTTGGCTTATGACATATATTACTTTTTCAGACAGCCAGATGGAAGATAGGGAGAAGAGGCTTGAGTTGATGAGAATGAAGAAACTCGCGGCTGGAGGTACCGAAACTTCAGGATTTATCTCGTCGACCACTTATGGTCGAGTCCCTCCGAGATCAACTACTCCTAACCTATCTTCCCCTGCCACAGTCTAGGATCAGACATTGAAGTAGAGGAAACAATTTATGAAGAGCCTGACGTTATTAGAAAGAGAAAGAACAGAAGAAATAGAAAAACTCAGCCTTTTGACCTTGGTGATGTGATTTTTAAAATGTATGACCGGAATAATCTGTCAATGAAATGAAATACCTGAGTAATGCATAACGACGCGGTGGAGGATGCACCGTTTTCAGACTCGTCTCGTTCCTAAACGCGATACATGCAACATGTACAATAATCGGAGCTGGGAGTGATGTGGGAAGTGATGTTGGAAGTGATGGAGCTGAACTGAAGTGATGGAACTGGAACGTGATTCTTTGACCACCGCGTCCCTGCTGTGTCAGATGCCCCCTGACGCGGTACCTGTCAAACCGCGAGCCGGCAGCCAATGGTGGTCCACCATCTCCTCTACTGTACGCGGTCTTCTGAGAGCCGCGTTCCTGAGGCGTTTCATTAGAGGCCGCGTCCAGCCTTCACCCTGGACCACTACTTATTCTCCCCCATCCCCGGCAGAACATCCCATTCTCTTCTAAGTAGAACGCGTTTGGTGCTTGTGGCTTGTGGGGCTTTCGGTTTGCCATTCTTTGTGTCATTTTCAAGTAAGTAGTATTATTAGATATTAGGTTTGTCATATGATTAAGATATTAGGTTTGTCATATTTGCAAGTAAGTAATATTATAATCTGGTCCACCATGTGTTAAAATCATATTATTAAGATTTTACATTTTCGAATGTTTTTTTTTTCTTTTTGTCTTAAAATTAGAATAGTGAATTTAATTGTGATTATTTGCTATTGTTTATAGTACTACTATTTTGTATTTAATTGCATGAAAAATTATTATTATTGTATTAATATTTATAAAATTTGTTAAATATGTTATATGCTATATTAGTATTTTAGGTTAATGGTGTTATATTTTATGCATAATTGTATTTTTATGTTCTTTAAAGGTCTCTTTATTTTTGGCTAAAAATATTAGGTTAGTATATTTAGTTTTTATAATTTGGTAGTAATTTTATTATTACTATTTTATATTTAATTGCATAAAACTTTATAATTATTCTATTAAAGTTGTTAAATATGTTATATTTATATTATTAAATTTGTTAAAAGTATAATATTATTATTATTAATATGTTACTGTTATTGGCCTTATATTTAATGCATAATTAAATTTTTAGTGTCTACACTGGTTCTACATTTTTTGTCTACAAATCTTAGGTTAGCCTATTTGTTTTTTATAATTTGCTATTATTTATGATTATGACTATTTTATATTATGCGCGTAAAATTTTATTAATATTATATTAATTATTCTATTAAATTTTTTAAATATGTTATATTTATATTATTAAATTTGTTAAAACAGTAATATTATTATTATGGATATGTTATGGTTATTTGCCTTATATTTTATGCATAATTAAATTTTTAGGGTCTTTAAAGGTCCTATATTTTTTGTCTAAAAAACTTAGGCTAGCCTATTTATTTTGTATAATTTGCTATTATTTATTATTATTACTGTTTTATATTCAATTGCATAAAATTGTATTATTATTGTATTAAATATTTTTGTAAAATACGTTAAATATGCTATATATAATTTTTTTAATTAAACTTGCATAACACAAGTTCATGGCATGTGAGGTGATTAATCCGGGTCCCGAAGATTACAGTGTGTTAAGAATTGATGTGCAAGAAACGCATGTGTCCCAAGCTGTATGGAACTCGGGATTGAAGAGGGTTCTCAAAGTTCGTAGAGCAACGCATGGGAAGGAGTCAGATCCGCACGATCCGGATAATATTCCGGAGCCAGTGGTGGAGCACCTTAGGCGTGCAGGCTTTTATCATGTCGCACGCATGCGTCATATGCCAGTTAGTTATTTAAAAGTGAGATGAATTATGTGCTTGTCCTTATTATAGGATAATGACTAATTTTATCCTTGTACAATGTCTTGCAGATCGATCATGCACTCATTAGTGCTCGGGTCGAGCGTTTGGCGCCCGGAAACACACACGTTTCACATGCCTCAGGGCGAAGTGACCATAACTCTTCAAGATGTGAATGCTATTCTTGGTTTGTCATCAGACGGGGAACCACTGATTGGACCGACATCCGCTAGTTGGAGTAATGTTGTACATCAAATGTTGGGACACCAACCTGAGCCACATGAGATCGAGGGAAGCTATTTGCAAATGTCCTTCATAGATCGACACTACGGACATTGGGTGCAGCACCAAGGCATGCCTCATAGTGAACTCCTCCATTCAAGGGCTTGTATATTGTGCCTCATTGGTGGATTTCTGTTTAGTGACAAGTCAGGGAATAAGATTGCCCTACGGTTTTTGCCATTTTTAAATAGGGATTTTTCGAGTATGACCACCTACAATTGGGGCGCAGCAGTGTTAGCATTCCTCTACAGGGAATTATGTATGGCGAGAAACCCAGCCCAAAATATTATGTCTGGTTGCCTGACCTTGTTGCAGATATGGGCATGGTTCAGATTCCCCCCCCCCATTGCACCGTTTATACCACCTGTGACCGATCCAAATGATCATTACGGAAGAAGATATGATGATATTTACGTATTTTACTGTGAAGTGAGTCGGAAAACAGTAAGACTTGGAGCCAAATGGCATTTTTCTTATTTTTTGGGTTTGTTTCCTTCAGATTTAACAATTTTGGAAGGCGGATACGGCCAAAGGATTTGATGCACTATAGATCGACACTTGACACTATAAGCAGAACCGATGTATAAGTTTGTACATGGCTTTAGTATTTGTCGGTTACATTATTTTACCATTATGTAATTAACATTTGTTGTTTTGTCGCAGATAATTTGGCAGCCGTATACTCATTATCACTTTCTTGGTGCATCTTTGGAGAGTCAAATGATGCGGAGATCCGTTACCCCACTTATTAGTTTCCATATTGTGGAAGCTCATCTGCCAGATAGGGTAATGCGTCAGTTTGGTTTAGAACCCTGCATCCAGTTGCACCAGCTAGACTTGGAGGCATTCATGATGTTATGTTACGCGGTAAACAGACTGAGAATTGGTTGGTTAAGTTGCAACCATTTATAGCCAAGTGGGAGACGCGAAACACAAGGGTTGTTGACGGCCAGAGTGGAGGCAGCAAATGCATATCACCTAATCATGAATACATGAAATGGTATCGGCCTCGTACTAGGCTATATATGACGTATAAGGCTGCCCGGACCGGACATATGGTTAGTTGTTGCATTAATTTTAATTTACCTTTATTCAAGTAATATATTGTTAATGTTATCCTATTTGCAATGTGTAGGTAGATGCAGCTGAGATGGCATGGTGGATGGCAGACGAGGATGACCCATCGACAAAAATTGATGTCCAAGAGGTTATCGACAGACTGCTTAATATTTTGCTCGAGTATGGTAGGGTCAATGAGCCTGACCCAGTGGCAGCAACTGTTCAATTACCAGAGGAAGCAGATACAAGTATTGAGGTCCCACCTAGGGCGAGGGAAGGACACGATATACCTCATCGTCGTGAACACATCCCTCCGGAGATATACAGTATTGATCCCCCGGGACCACGGATGCCTGGGACTTACAGACCACCTAGACAACCCACAGGTGCGTCAGTTCCTTTTGACTATTTTCCACAGGTTAGGCCACAGGCACAACCACAACCACATCAACCATTCTCCTTTCATTCATTTGGATAACCACAACATGCGTCAACCACACAGGAATAGGGTTATCCACCACCGACTCATGACAGCTCGACCGAGCCACCATGTTGGCCAACCCCTATGAACATGTCAGGCGGTGCATCTTCGAGCAGTCAGCAGCAGATAATTTGTTCCATATTTGGGGAGTTTATTGATCCATATGCCCATTTAACCAGTCATAATGATCAAGCAGAACAGCACACCACGGATATACCTGTTAGGTCATTTATCAGGGATGACACTGATCCATCAGATGACTTCTTTGTGGCGGCGACACAAGAATTTGACTACACAACCCAAATGGATCCAGAATCATTATTACCCCTGGCGCGTAGGCTTCCTAACAGGGACGCGAAGACGAGACAATGGCCTCCCAGATCGTAGATTTTTTATGTATTGGTATCTTTTATGAATGCACTATATGTATATAGTTTCATTGTATTTGAATGTGGTGATGTATTATGGACATTATTTTATCTTTCATCATTTGTGGGTGGTTTATGTTGTATCATATATATTGCCCTATATTTCGTACTACCAAGTAGCAACCATTAAATATCAGGGAGCGACAATACATACGTTTTAATAGCAAATCTAAATAGATCGTTAACAGACTGATAATATATGCGAAATGATGTAGACCCTATCTACGATACATTTCATTGGATATTTACACATGCAGGACATGATCGTCTATTATGCCCAATCCTTCCACAAACACCGCACTTAGTACGACTTGAACTGGATTCTACTTGATCCATCTCGTTATGAATGCGAGACCTCTTAGGACGTCCCTTTGCCCGCACACGGTGTGGATCTGGCAGAAGTATCGGTCCAGTATAAGGTGGGATCGCGTCCTCATTGCCGATCGAATACCGAGGTGATGCATACACCTTATTAATATTGAGGATGGAGTAGCATGGGTCCACAAAATTCTCATGAGTCATACCCACCTTCAAACAAACCGCCCTGACATGGCTGCATGGATATTTAAACGCTTCAAATTTTCCACACTGACACTTTCTTTCATTCAAGTACAAAGACAATAAATATCCCCCTTTCTGTGTTATTGGATTATATGGTTCTTCCACTTCAAATAAGGTAGATTCTCTATTAAATGCACGAACAATGTGTGATGAGGCAGCAACTGCTTCTCTCTCCATTCTAAGGTGGGCATTATGACAAAACTTAATACCGACAGCAACATCAAGACTAGCTTCGTGACCTCTCTTTACAAAGTAATGCACAAGCTTACTGTAGGTGTGCTTGACCAAAGCTGTGATTGGCATCCCTCGAGCCCCTTTAAAAATGCTATTTACGCATTCAGATAAATTTGTTGTCATATGACAATAATGCCGTCCATCCACATTATATGCACGACTCCATTTCTCCTTCGGGATAGCATCAATCCACGCCGCTACCTCTGGACTATTGCTCCGAAATTCCTCCAACTTAACATCAAAATTTACCTTCGATGGAGTATAACCTGCATTTAACAACCAATCAAAGCATTAATTTGTCGTATTCATAAAATATACACGGAGTAGTAAAGCTTATCGTGTCACCTAGATTCTTCAATTGATGTTTCCACTCCTCATTTTTGAATCTTTGGTTGAAGTTACTTCCAACATGTCTCAGGCAAAAGACATGGTACGCTTTTGGAGGCTGCCAATCAAGATATAGGTTTGCAACTGCCGATAATATGCCTCGATGTCGATATGATATTAGGCATATACCTGTCTTTTGAGTGACATACAAACGTATACAGGACAAAAAGTATTCCCATGACTCCTTTGTTTCACCTTCTACAACTGCAAAAGCCAATGATAATACCTCATTGTTTCCATCATGCGTTGTGGCAATCGGCAATGTACCTTTATACTTCCCATATAAATGAGTACCATCAACTTGTATAACCGGTTTGCAGAAGTTGAACGCGTCACAACATTGCTTAAAAGTCCAGAAAATTCTATGGAAAACCCTGTAACCATTGACAACACGGTGATTGACCACGTAGTCATTTGTGTGAATGAGATAGACAGAACCCTCAGAAAATTTAAGCATGTAATTAAACCATTTAGGCAAATAAGCATAAGATTGGTCCCAATCACCGTAGATTTTTGCCATGGCTTTTTGTTTATCCTTCCTAGCCTTCCTGTATGAAATAGTAAATCCATAATTGTTTTGGATTTTTTCTTGTATCAAACTGATTGATACATGAGGTTCTTCCTTCACCATATCTGCCAAAACAATATAATATATATAACATTACTAAATTGCTATTCAAGGATATAAAAATTGAGACAATACAAATTTCATTAGAAATAAACACTCACCTAATATAGTCGAAGCAATGAAGGCGAAATCAAGTTGTCTGTGATCTTAGGACAGATTGCAAGTGGCACAATTGTGAGGTCCTTCCCATCTACTCACAACCCACATTAATCCAATTTTTGGTTTCATTGCCCTCATTCGCCATGGACAACCAACCCATGGTTCTTGCATCTCAATACTAGCTTCATAGTCGTGCTCTCAACAACAGTTGCTTTCTTATTAATTTTCATACAATATGACTTGACCGCCATCTGCACTGATTCCTTAGCAACAACAGTTGCTTCCTTATTAATTTTCATACTAGCTTCATAGTCGTGCTCTCAACAACAGTTGCCTCCTTATTAATTTTCATACAGTATGGCTTGACCGCCATCTGCACTGATTCCTTAGATTCAAACTCTTGTTTAACAAATAACTCATCCCCAATGGTCCATGCACCATGACAATCTCTCTCGTTGTATTTTCGATCTTCATTCGGATACTCATAATTAATATATGAGTAATGTGGTATGCCATTCCAAAACGGAGTTACATTAGGGTTTACATTGGGAGTTACATTGTCACCTACATAACATACAAGCAACTAAATCGTTAGTTGAACTAGAAAAAAAGATTGTAATTTTTTTTTAGATAAATCACTTGTCAACTAACCTGCAACCACATTTTGATACCCAACGATACCCGTTGATGTGGATTCATTGACGTTGTTTTGAAAGCCTATCGGCACATCAGATGGATTACTATCGTCGTCATCTTCACTAGCTGATTCATCGTCATTAATGTCGGCTGCCAGGCACACATCCTCATCTTCTTCTTCTTCGTCATCGTCCTCGTCATTACGGTCATATGTTGGTAGGTCTTCAGCGTCAAATATCAAATTGTTGGGCGCTACTGGAAGTACAGAAGGTGATGCATTCCTATTTAAATTATCAGTGTCGGGTGCTATATTCAGATCAAGCGACCAAATCGGTATTGACAAAACATCGATATTTTCAAAATCTACATATATCTCCACAAACTTTCTAGCATTCGTATGATCAACACTTGTGTCAGCTTGTTCCACAAATATGTCTAATATAATATCAACATCATCATCATCCGTAATTGATATTGCTGTGTATTCATAATTGCCAGCAAGAGCTCTTATAGTGACTTGAGAAATACGTTGATTCCCTTTGAACCCCAATTTCTGATGAATGTTCGCTTTCAACTGCTCAAAGGTAGTACCGCGTGTAATACGCATTGGTCATTTTTCACCTTCAAATGTTACACCGCGACGACCTATAACCTTTCTACCATTATAGTATATAAGTGCACGAACTGTTTGTAAATTTGAACTCATTTTTCCTGCAAAAAGTTAAACAAAAGATATAAAAAAAAATTAATATGTAAAATAATTTAAATACATCATGGATAATTACAAGGATAAATTTTTACTGTAAAATAAATTCTAAATAAAGCAAAGCATACATGAAATAACAAATGAAAAACATGACTAAATATCAGTATAATATGACATTCAACACATTAATTTTTTCCATTATACAACAACACCTCAACTAAGGGTGTAAATGGACTAGGCCGGCTTACAGGGGCCTACGGCCTAATCTATATTAGGTCAGGCTTGGCCTATTATAAGTAGTAAAATAGAATAGGCCTAAGCTTTAAAAAAACCTATTTAGAAAACAGGCCATAGGCTTCTTTGTACATGACGGGCCTATAATCCTAGAGGTCGGCCTATATCATATTATTTATTTAAAATATAATAAATAAAATTATTATTTAATAATTTTGAATAATAAAATAATATTATTTTTGTTATTCATTTAATTGTTGAATGTTTAATAGGCTTAAATAGGCTAACAGGCCTAGGCCGAGGCTTTTATTTTTTGAATATAAGTCAGGCCAGACTTGTAATTTGGAGCCTACACAGATTAATAAGCCAGGCCATACCCAATGTTTCTATGCAGGCTTGGCCTATTTAAGCCAAAGCGTAGCCTAGCCTAGCCCATCCCATTTACACCCTTAACCTCAACTAGAGAACATGAAAATATGGAAAAACGCGGATAGCACAATGTTGAACACCGAGTGAAATGCAGAAGCAACTTGGTGAAATGGAAATGCGGAGGGGGATGGTTATATAGCACTGGACGCGGTGGGAGGTGAGCCATTTTCAAGACTTGGCTTCCAGTGCCGCGTTCCATGTAGAAATTTGATTGGTTGGTGGAACGCGTTTCAACCAGGGCCGTGTAATTTTTGAAGTGACTGATCGGAACGTGTTTGGGTATCAACCGCGTCTTGTGCATGGCGGAGTTGAGGTGACTTTCTGACAGGTCATGGATGCTCAATTGCGTCCTGTTGCAAATCATTTTGCAAGAGACGCGGCTCTCACAGTATCACGTCCCATGCCCACTGACAGAATTTGTACTGGACGTGACACCAAGGGTGTCATGTCTTAAACCGTCTGCCAACCAGTCGCGTCGTTATGCACTATTTAGGCAATACATTTGACCTGAAAATTGTTCCGGTCATACATTTTAATAATCACATCACCAAAGTCAAAAGGCCGAAAAACTCCTCATCTTTATACAGATTTCCGACTAAGTTTTTTTAAAAAAAAAATTAAATATTTTTCTTAGTAGTTAAAGAAATGTTAAATGAGATAAGAGACACAAAGAGTTTTTTTTTAAGTAAAATTAAGAATGATTAGAGATTTTTTTTACTGAAAGACTTGAACTTGAGTCATATTAATAGAGAAAACTATTATGTATCACAGAAAAAAATAGAGAAAATTATTAGTGAGAGAGTCAACAAATATACAGAACCCACATAACTCAAACCGGATCAACCAGATATAAACCGGTGAAGAAATTAAAAAAAAAAAACTTCAAAACTAAACAATTTGTGGAGGGTAACAGTACTTCTTAAGAAAAAATAAAAAACTTGAGTGAAGATCTTACCTCTTGTTATATAAGTGTATTTTTCACTCTTATATAATAAGTTAATGTATTTATTCTTAAAAAAGAGATAATTTATTTATGTACTCTAGTTTTTGGTTACATTATACATGCATGGCTTATTCGTTGAAAACCACTTGTGATACACCCAATCTATTTTTGGCTTCCCAATTTTTTCTCATCAATTAAAAATAAAATGTATTTAAATCTTGGGAATAACATCTGTCATTTTAAAGGATATAACCTTATATCATTTTAGATCATAACCGTTGATTTCTTTCTATCAACGGTTATAATTTATTATATCAAAATTATTAATTAATTAATAATAAATTTGGCCCGTTAAGTTTGACCCAATAGATTATAACTGTTGATGGACGGAAATCAACGGTTAAGATCTAAAATGATATAAGGTTATATCTTTTAAAAGGATAGATATTTTTCCCTTAAATCTTTTAATTTTTTTTATCAATTCCTTATTTATCGATCTGATATTCTTTGTTTTTCTGCTTAACCAAATGTTTTCTTATGTAAATAGTGATTGTATCATGTGTCACATATTTTCAAGAAATTCATATCTGTATATTAAATTTGAACATACTCCATCAAAAGTAAATTAATTTCTTAGTTTATTATCCTGTAAAAAATGATACATCCCATTTTTAACTTTTATTCTCTTAAATTTTAAATTCGAGTTTTTTGAATAAAATATATGTTTTTTAATGAATTTAATCATTTTTTTTGAATAACTAATTTTTTTGAATAAAATCAATTATATATATATATATATATATATATATATATATATATTATAATTTTAAAGTTTACCTAATTTAAAAATATACGTGTGATTAAATTAAACTCATTATGGCCAACAAAGATGGGCACAGTTGGCTAAGGGTTTGGTCCATACTCCTCAAGGGCGTGGGTTCAAACCCCGCTGGCCGATGTGAGGACTTTGTTGGTGGGTGATATGTAATCCCTCCCAGAAATCCTCAAAGAGGTTGGGGGGTCTTCTCTGACCCTAGTGGGATATCGGTGTCTAACCCCACTTAAACTTTCACGGTATTAAAAAATAAAAAATAAAAAATTAAACTCATTATTGATGGAGTTGACCAAGTTCACAGAAAGACCATGATTGTGTTGTGGCCACAAATAAATAAAAGAAAGAGGGTAGGACATGGGTATAATGATTTTATCAATAATCTATAGCAAAATTGTCTTTTGGCTATAGGCCAATGAAGAAAGTGAGAACCGACAGTGGATTGGTGGTCGTTCTACGCAACCACTAACCAGTAGACTAGTAGTGAGAGTATTTGCAGTACCCGTGTCTTTTGGCAGAGTGTGTGATTCAGCGAGTTGCGCTGCAGGCAGGGGCGGAGACAGGGAGAGGTTGGGCGGCCGCCCCCCTCTCCCAAAAAAGAATTGAAAAAATAAATTAATATAATTAAAGGCTAAATATAATACTATTAAATGTGCTTATTTCGGATATTTTGGTTTGAGATTCAAGTTGAAATCTATAACATTTTTTGCATTTTCTTTTTTATTTTTATATGCTATGTTTTGGTTAATAATTTTTTTGATTTTTTTGCCACCCTTTTGCTCTCTTTTCATTTGTATGGTTATGTTTCTCTTTATGTAGTGATTACATATAGAAAAAATGAATTTGCTCTAACTTAAAAGATTCACTTTTTGGGGCAATTTGGTTACAGCCTTTTTTTTTTTTAAAAAAAAAAATTGTAGTTAAAATTTTTGTTTTAGTTAAGGCACTTTTTTTAAAAAAAAATTATTGCTTTAAACTATTTTTTTATGTCTGTTGAACCCGGCCAATCGTACATTTTTTAGTCTTTGAAACATTGTTAAATATTAATATTTTGGTAAGAAATTATCTAAATAAGTTTCATAAAGATATGAGGTCAAAAAATAAAAAAAATATTAATATTATATAAGACAAAAATTAATTTTCGCCGTCCTCCACTCGCTGGAGGGTTTAGATTAAGCTATGCTCTGAATAGCAATGATACATAAATAGTAGCCGTAAATTATGATGCAAAGCTATTAGCATTCACCTCTAATTGCTCGGGAGCGGATATTTTAATGTTAAAATTTTAATCATATAAAATTTTAATAAGGGAGGATTAAAATTTACTTTTTTTTTTATTTACATGATTAAAATTTTTAAAAAAGTTACTCTTAGAAACTTTTAGCTTTTGCTCTCTTTTTTTATTAGAAATTTTTTTTATTATTATAAAAGCTTTTATAAAAATTTGTTTGACCTAACTTCTGTTTATAAGAAGAACAAAATTAAAAAAAAAATGAGAATCCAAACATATACTAAAACTCTGAATTCAAACTCAAGGATATTTATATTTTGAGAATCCATCGTTATTTAATATCACCCTATCATGTTATTTATGTAAGAAAATTATAATTATTCTTAAGAAAAATTAACAATGATGAGAAATGATAAAGCGAAAATATTTAAATAAAAAATAACAAAATTATCACCATTAATTTAATCATAAATCATTAGTGTACTCTTACATAACATCATTAGTAGAGCTGGCAAAACGGGCTCGGCTCGGCGAGCCAATCCGCCAAACAGGCGGGCGGACTGAGTTTTTCAACCCATCTCAAAAGTGGGGCGGGACGGGACGAGCTCATTTTTTGGCAGGTTGATGGCGGGCATAGGCGGGCTGAGGCGGGTCAGTGTAAAAAAAGCTTGGGCTGACGGGCCAACTCGCCTAACCCGCCAAACGAGGTAGGGCGAACTGAGTTTTTCAGCCCACTTTCAAAAATGGAACGGGACGGGCTGACTCATTTTTTGACGGAATGGGACGGGACGGGCCGCCCACTTTGCCACCTCTAATCATTAGTTTAAATAATCGCTCTCGCATGTTTTTATGCATCGAAGATAACAAACGATTCAACTCCCAAATATTTGCTATTATAATGGAAAGAGATATCTCATGCCAAGAAGGCTGGTAAGCAACCAACCCAACTGAGAGAATTTTTTGGATACCATTGTAGTACTTACATCCATGTTAAAAAGGAATTTTTTTTGAGATTTAAAGGAAAATATAAATAAAAATTTGGATTAAAATAAAAATAATAATTTTTCTATTTAAAAAAAGTGAGTACCGAGTTCAGTACTTCTACTATATTGAAAAAATTTCTCTCAGAACTTCCTTAGGGAATATAAAGTTTTCACAAGGCTGTTCTTAAATCTATGCACGAATACTTTTGTTTAAGAGAATATTTTTTGTAACTCAATAACTTAAGCTAATAAGTGATCGAAAAGCTCTACTACCATAATAAATAATCATTTCAACTCAAAAATTTAAATTAATAAATGATGAGTCTTCAATAATATTGTATTATATTTCTCTAGTATAAGTAGCTTCAATAATCCTTATAAGTAGCTTCTAGCTTAAAAATAAGAGGATCCAAACAGGCACTAAACAACACTCTCCTCAAGCATTGTGTTAGCTCGTATCTTATGCGTGTCAATGTGTCATGGGTGGATGTTCTACTGGAAAGTTTTGAAACTGAAAGAAATGAAGCGACAGACATATTTCATATATTTATATAACGTGTTTATTGCATAAATAAAAAATTATATTATATTATATAACATAACTTTCTTATACACAATTAAAAAGAAAAAAGAAATAAAAGAGAGAAGAAAGAAAAATCAAGGAATAAGATACACATAAAATTATGTGTATAAGAAAAGGGTAAAACATTTTTGCTACTGCAGAAGTATTCCCTTCATGTCATACACTCATCCAAATTTTCAATTTTTTTTTAAATTATGGATCACACCATATCTTTAGTCCGTTTGGATGGGCTTTTTTCCCTTCAAAAGTTGCTTTTTTTAAGAAAAAAAAAGCACTTCTCAAAAAAAGTCTGTTTGGATGCCAGCTTTTAAAAAAAGCAGAAGTTATAAAAAAAGTTAAAAATCTACTTTTTTCGGAAGCTAAAAATTTTAACTTTTAAAAAAAGCAAAAGTCAAAAGCCAAATATTTTTTTAAAAATCTAAATAGCTGTAACTTTTATAGAAAGTACTTTTAAAATAAGGAAGTAATAAAAGGGCTTTCTTAAAAAGCCAATACAAACGCACCCTATGGGACAACGAACTTCACTTGCATGTCAGCATTCATTGCAACCAAGTTCGCTACTCTGGGTAGCGAACTTGTGCACCACCAGGAACGTGACACATCACCAATCAAAGTTCGCCTCCTTGTCCAGCGAACTTGCCCTTGTGACAGTTGGGAAAAAAAAGTCAGTAGACGTGACATTTAGGTTAAAAAGAATGGAATTGTGGCAAAATGATCATTTTTTCATAACTTTTGATTTAGCCTATGTTTATTATTTGGTTTTTGTCATTTTGTATTATTCAGTTTTCTTAAAAGAATCTTTCTTTGACGATGATAAATGAAAGACGAAAAGCAAAGTGAATGATGCACGGCCAAAAAACATTGTGTAAAAAACAAACCAGCATACATAATTAACCCCGTGGTCCCTAGTCATAGAGCGTACATGTAACATATTGGAACAATCACAATTATAGATAAGATATTTTACCGAACCGGCACGACTCGGCGTATTGCAACCGCAAACCATTTATCATTTGAGTGTCACCTCACTCTCACAGTCTCACATACTATCATTCTTTTTCCCTTCATATCGCTCGACTTGGAGTCAAAAGTTTTTTTCTTTTATAAGGGAACCAAAACCTTAAGCGGCACGATTCGTTGCAAAATTAAATAGCCGGTGACAATGTAATACAATTGGTGTTGTTTGAGTTGAATTTTGTTATTAGTCATATATAACATTAGCGTTGAGGTGATTTTTCAGCTCACTAGTGGATAGATATGACTCAATTTCTTACCCTAAAATGCAGAACATTTGGGGGGCGTTTGGTACAAGAGAAATTTTTATTTGTCCGGGAATCTCGATTTTCAAAAATATGATTTTTGCATTCAGTTTACGATAATATCTGAAAATTTAAAATTTAGAAAAATTCAGTTTCTCGGGAATCCCTCAAAATCCAGCGTACCAAACGCCCCCTTGGTTCATTTGGGCGTTATTATCAATGAATAAACTTTTTTGTTTTTAAAATTTTCACCTATCTTAAACTCCATTCTATATCACATTAACTCTTTTTTGTTTTTGAGTTACCCAACCCTAATTATCTCTTTGAGACGAGTTGGCTCCCTCCGGTATCCCCACGAGTTTCGACTCTTTGAGCCGGCTATGGGACTAATCCGGAGTGCGGGGGAGCAGTGATGGCTAAAGGCTCAGCTCCCTCCCAAAGAATGCAGTGCGGTATCAACAGATTGTAAATTAAACATAAAACCTTAATGTTGTTTGTGAGAACCCCGTTGAAGGACACACTCAAGATTCTGAAAACGTTATACCTCAAGTCTCAGTAAAATCTATGTCGGTTCTGTTTTACCCTTTTAAAAGGAAAGCAATAAAAAATAACCAAAAAAAAGAGTGGCCCTTCCATGACATAAACTTTCATTGAATTATTGAGTCATAGACTCATAGCAAAAGAGTGAACGATCCAGAGAAATTATTATATAACTAGAAATTTTAATAATTATAATAATTAGTAATTCTTTTTAGAAAAGTACACTGACGGAAACGTGAGTATGTTCGTTGCATCAAAAGAATATTACCTATGTATCAAAAAGATAAAAATAAAAAATTACCCATGTGGAGGGCACGATTTTTTTCAAAGATCGTCTTAAATATGTAATGACAACAAGCATCATCCTAATTTTAATTTTTACAAAATACCATGGTAAGTTTGCTCTCTGATAATTGTTTATATAATTATTTTTAATTTGAATTTTCTTATTTATAAAAGGAGAAATTTTATCAGAGAAAAATATTCAAATCTTAACTCGTTTTTCTCTTTTACATATGCAAAAGGCCATCTTAATTTTTGTTACTTATTTATAACGAAATATGATTTATGCTTTTGAAGCAGACAATCACATAGATTTGATCATAAGTCGGGTATTGCTCAACTAAGCTTAATTATAGCCTAGATCTAGATGTAGTTTGTTCCCCGTTCTAATTAAATAAAATATGATGGAATTGTGAAGGCATTGGGGTTTTTTTTTCACTCTTTTGCCTCTCATTAATGATTTAATAACTATTTTGTCTCTTATTCAGAATTATCTACAAATCTGCCATTCTTTAATCGATTAAGCCAAAAATGTAATCGATTAAATGGTCAAAATAAGCAAAAATCGTTGACTTGAAGATTCAGTCGATTAAATCTTCCTATTTAATCGATTAAATCTCCCATGCATAAGGTTGTTCTTCTGATAAAGAAAAAGATTTAATCGATTAAATCTTCATTTGACCATTTAATCGATTAAATATTTAATTTAATTGATTAAAGAAGAACAGATTGGTAGATAATTTAAAATAAAGGACAAAATAATTATTAAATAATTAATGAAGGGCAAAAATATGAAAAAGCCGCACTAGGCACCATAAAATAAGTCGTAAATTAAATAGTCTTCCTTTGCCCATAAAAAAACTACTGGTAGGTACTTGATGGCTTAGTAGTAGGGAGCTTAGTAGTAGGGACGTGCCAACCGCATATAATGTACACGAATGAAAGCCTATTACAATTTAGGCTTTGTTAATGGGCAATTTAAAGTCAACCACAACATCAAGTCCGAAATTGGGAAGTATATGTTATAATCGAAGTGATATTCAGTGTAATACTTGCTTCTCGTTCTATATGAGAAATTTTAAATGATGATTTTATGGGCCAAGTTGGTCAAGTTGTTCTTGTATGCTGATATCCCTACAGAGTGGAGCGTCGATATATTTTAGAAGTAGGTGGCATGGATTTTAAAATAACTCGCAGAATAAAATATATGATGCCAGGGCTTATCGGAGTTGGTCTCAACTCTCAACTGTTCCGATTCCGAATCTAGACAAAAATGAAAGACAAATTAAAATGTAGACTGTAAAGTCGAGGGGTTAAAAAATATAATATAAAATTAGTGTAAATAATTAATAAGATAACAGACTAAAAGCTAAAGGATTCAAAACTACTAACTATATTAATTCATTTTAAAGGTGTATTGATACTGAAGGTTGGCTAATGTGACTACATAAATTTCAAGACAGGCGAACTTTAAAAAGAGTGTGGGTTTGAATATTAGAAAAAAAACCTTTGAAATCAGCACTTGATCTTGATTTGAAATTAACGGAAGACCTAACTAAATAATTAGGATTATGAAATAAAAAAAATAACACTAAATGGGACTTGATAAAAATCACCTTTAGTTTATCTTTCTTAAAGATATGAAATTATCTTTGGCTTGATGGACGAAGACAAGAGGTTGTTAGTGTGATTTTTGTTAATTAGTGGCTGGTGAATCTCGACTTTAATGTGAATTAAAGCTAATCAAAGACCTGTTGTATTATTTAAGCTTAATCCAATTTCATAAATCAAAATCTATGGGTTGGTTACAATAGTAAACAATATTTAGTAGTTCCCAGTCATATTCATAATAAACCCACAAACAATTCCCATATTAGTGAAGCAAGGTATGGGTTAAGGAAAAGCGTCAGCATCCGCGCAGTAGAGAGGGTTGGTGTGAATAAATTGGCTATATTACTCCCACCAACCAAATTGCCACCAACAACACAGAGAATCGAGAAAGAAACTCAAAACCAAACAGTGACATGCATAGTTAGGAAGTATTATTCAAATTTCTAGTCAAATATAGAACAATTGAATTTCTTTCTTTATCTTTTGCGAATTAAAGGAAGTATAGTTTATGATTGCAATTGCATGCCTTTGATGAAAGCGACTTCCAAAGCTCAATTTTACTTGAGTAACCTTTTCTTCAATGTGTAATTGTAGGTAAGAATTTCTAATAAAAAGGATTTACATAAAAAGCTATAAAATGATGCAAATAAAAAAGAAAAAAGAAAAAAAGAAGAAGTTGTGGTAACCATGCCACGAGCAGCACCACCTGAACAAAATGCAAGTAACTAACTAACCATAATAATAGGGTCCATTGGCATTTGGTTAGAAGAAACTGTTATAAACACTGACACAGAGAGAGAGAAGGCACATTCCAAACACTAACTAATAATAACTACTCTTTCTTCTTCTTCTTCTTCGCTCTTCATTTCTTTCAATGGATCCGGTAAGCGAGTGGGGAAACACGCCGTTGGCGACGGTGGATCCGGAGATCCACGACCTCATCGAGAAGGAGAAGCGACGCCAATGGCACGGCATCGAGCTCATCGCGTCTGAGAATTTCACATCATTCGCAGTTATAGAAGCCCTGGGCAGCGCCCTCACCAACAAGTACTCCGAGGGCATGCCCGGAAACCGTTACTACGGCGGCAACGAATTCATCGACGAAATCGAAAACCTTTGCCGCTCACGCGCCCTCGAGGCATTCCACCTCGAATCTCAATCGTGGGGCGTCAATGTGCAACCGTATTCCGGTTCCCCGGCGAATTTCGCGGCGTATACGGCGGTGCTGGAACCGCACGACCGTATCATGGGGTTGGATCTGCCGTCGGGTGGGCATTTGACCCATGGATACTACACTTCGGGTGGGAAGAAGATATCGGCGACTTCGATTTACTTCGAGAGCCTTCCTTATAAGGTGAATTCGAAGACGGGTTACATTGATTATGATAGGTTGGAGGAGAAGGCGTTGGATTTCAGGCCCAAGTTGATTATTTGTGGTGGGAGTGCCTACCCTAGGGATTGGGATTATGCTAGGTTTAGGGAGGTTGCTGATAAGTGTGGTTCCCTCTTGCTCTGTGATATGGCTCACTTTAGTGGCCTTGTTGCTGCTCAGGTTTCATTTCGCCCTTTCTTTCTGTTGGATTTATATTGATTTGGCTGGTCTTGAAATAAGATCTGCTAGCGTATCATATCATCTTGAATTAAATGAACAAATGAATCCGCATACATAAATAGATTATACTTTTCTTTTTTCTTTTTCTTTTTTTCTTTTGTTTTATAAGGTGCCATTTCAATAAATGCTTGACTTGTTAGTTTTGTTAAGGGCTCGTTTGGTAACATGATAGCATAAGAGTAGGATATGATATGAGGCTGATAAGGGTAAGATATGATATGGGGCTGATAAGCTTATATCATGTCCTGTGTTTGATGAGCACCGCACCTGATTAGCAATCTAATAACATTATGTAGAAGGAGAAAGGAGAAAGAAAAAATAAAATATAATGCAATAAATACAAATATATTGAATAGCGTGGGGATATATTGGGTATCCTATCTTGTTAAATCCTAACCCAGCTCTCCCCATAAGATAAGAAAACATGTATTGGATAGGATAAAATGAGATAATAGGATAAGCTAATCATATCTTAGTGACCCACCAAACAAGAGATAAAAGTAGGATATGATAAGTTATCCTATTCTATCTTCTTTATGAGGTGCTCCAAACAGACCCTAAAGAGATATAATATAAAACATAGCCTTCACTTTTTACCGGTCTCGACCTCGATCCTAATAATTAGAGATTATGGATTTTCTTAGCATTGGTAAGTCGGATCTGTATATTGTCCACCTTTCAAATCCAATAGGCTCTTGCGTAAAATGTAATATAAGACCGTGACCTTCATTTAAGAGCTTAAGCTTTTGGTGAATTGGTTCTTTACAAGTTTAATGATTTTTACTTTGGTACCATATGTTGCCAAAATGTAGTGGACAAGATTGGATTCTTGCATGTCTAGTTTAAAATGATAAGGAGAGAATGCATGAGGGTAAAGAGTGAGGAGAGGATAAGTTATTTATAAACAACTCGGATCGTCTCAAATGATATAAATCATGTGTTACCTAGGAATTTATCAAAAGACATTTTCATTTATGCCTCAAAGTTTGTTACAAATTATTTGGCTTGTTTGGTATGAATGATGACTTTTTTATTTTTGTGTGTGTGTGTATGCAGGAAGTTAATAATCCCTTTGAGTACTGTGACATAGTGACGACAACAACCCACAAGAGTTTGAGGGGTCCAAGGGCAGGTATGATCTTCTTCCGGAAGGGACCTAAACCACCAAAGAAGGGCCAGCCTGAGAATGCAGTTTACGATTTTGAGGACAAAATCAATTTTGCTGTCTTCCCCTCCCTTCAGGGTGGTCCTCACAATCACCAGATTGGTGCCCTTGCTGTTGCTTTGAAACAGGCCATGTCACCTGGGTTCAAGGCATATGCCAAGCAAGTTAAGGCCAATGCAGTTGCTCTTGGAAATTACTTGATGAGTAAGGGATACAGTCTCGTCACTGGTGGAACTGAGAACCATCTTGTCTTGTGGGATCTCCGCCCTCTTGGATTGACTGGTATAAAGGATAAAACTCACACCTAACTAACTTCAATAAAAATAAAATTACCAAACTCACCAGCTGGTTTAAATTGGCATCAATTTGTTTAAAACATATAACTAATTTCATCACTGCTCGATGTTCTTGCAGGCAATAAGGTGGAGAAACTTTGTGACCTCTGCAACATTACAGTGAACAAAAATGCTGTTTTTGGTGATAGCAGTGCCTTGGCTCCCGGTGGAGTACGAATTGGTAAGAAACTTCTGTATGTACTTGAGTTTGCTATGGGAATCTAATTTTTTAATGTATTGATAGAAGGCAGAAGGCATCTTAGAAAGTTGTTGTAGATTATTATTGGAATGAATATCATTGAGGATGTGTTTTTACTTTTTAGTGCTTCATCAAAGGTGAGCTTGCTGACCGGCCTTATTAAATATTTGGGAACATGTCATCTTTCTTTTCCCCTCAGGGGAAAGTCAACATTGGAAGTTGTTGTTTATGCCATGTGATTTACAAACCAATTATAACATACTGTTATTAAGTTTGTTTTTGTAATACTTTAAAAAATATATATATATTGATTTATTACCAAAATACTTATATTTAGTGATTTAGTATCAGACTGATACTAAGCTTTGATCTTGTTTCTGCATTTTTCTCATGTGTAAGTTAAATGTTTGCCTTCATTTTGCTTGAGTACCTGACAGGAGTTTCTGTTAACAGGTGCCCCAGCCATGACTTCTAGAGGCTTGGTTGAAAAGGACTTCGAGCAGATTGCAGAGTTCCTTCACCGTGCTGTGGCTCTCACACTGGAGATCCAGAAGGAGCATGGAAAACTTCTGAAGGATTTCAACAAGGGCTTGGTGAACAACAAGGATATTGAAGATCTAAAAGCTGATGTTGAGAAGTTCGCTACCTCATTTGATATGCCAGGCTTCCTGGTATCTGAGATGAAATACAAGGATTAGGTTTAATCATACAACTCTCCACTCAATGTCTTCGTTTTTCGGGTGTGTAGGTTTATCACGATGGTATTTCAATCCATAATTTGAAGTTTGTTTTGTCTTTGTTTTCATGTTTTCGTTAGCCTGATGATATCATTTTTTTAACAACAATCGAAATAATAAATGTATTATTTTCCTTTTCCTCGGAAGCTAGTATGTTTCGTCATTTCATCTACAAATATTGCTGCGCAAACAACTTGCGAGGCTGAATTTTGGCTGAGTTAACGGGAGAAAGTAGATTATGTATTGTCTTTTGAGGTGTTTATTTGTTGTAGGTTGTTCAAATTGCCTAACTGCTATCTGTTGGACTAATCTATCCATATTTAGCATCTCCCTTATAGTCTTATGTTTCAATGCTCTATAGCTAATTGGGTTAATATCCCTCAAGCAAATTATGAAGTTATTAGAATTGTGTAATGTATACAAGCGCTCCTTCACTCCCTCCAATAATTTTAATCACAGGTTCTATATAGTTCAGTAATTAGACTGATAGATTTTTATGTATATATTTTTTTACCGTCCATTTGAAGCATAAACCAAGAAATGTTTATTTTTTTTTACTAGCAACGATCTGACATAAGTGACTTTACAAACTACTAAACCAATAAAGTTTCGACAATTATTTGGTGTTTTTTCAGAGATTGTAAAATCTTCATTACAAACTTTTAAAATATAAATCTAGGGACAATTAACTTAATTTAACCATAGAATTTACAAAAAAATAAGCATAATAAAAATGAATCTGAACCTGCCATGCGTGTAAAAAACTCGAATAACGAAGTTTGTTTAATTTAGCTAGCTACTCAAGAGAAAGAGAATCTTACAATTGATTAATTGAAAAGGAAACGAAAAATAAGTGTTTTAAGGGCTAGCCGTTGCAACCATTTTTCTTTAATATACTTTCCCAACGGTCATATTGTAGCCCACCTATTCAATCAAGTCTATATTAACTGCACCCTCTCCTCTCATATATCAATTTCATATTCATATTCCTCATAGCACAATCTTAGTTTCACAACATACAGAAAATGGGCATCTCTATGAAGAGTGACTCGGCGACTAAAGAGTACCACATCCACAAGGTGTTTCTCTTTTGCAACTACATACTCTTGGGTGCAGCCTCAAGTTGCATATTCCTCACCCTCTCCCTTCGCCTCCTACCCTCACTCGGTGGCATGTTCTTGATTCTCCTCCACATATTCACCATTGCAGGGGCTATCTCAGGATGTGCAGCTGTCTCATCAGGGACTGGCCCATTGTATTCTGTTCACATGGTAGCCACCGTGCTCACTGCCATATTTCAGGGTTCAGTTTCTGTGTTGATTTTCACACGAACTGATAGTTTTCTTAGCCAGTTGAAATCTTACGTGAGAGAAGAGGATGCCTCTGTGATTCTCAAACTAGCTGGTGGACTCACTATTTTGATCTTTTGCTTAGAATGGGTGGTTTTGACCCTCGCTTTTTTCTTGAAGTATTACTCTTACGTTGAAGCTGATGGTGGTGCCAAGGTGCAGCCACAAGAGGATTTGAATGATTGGCCAAGGCCTTTCCAAGTTTAATTATGCGGTTCAGAACAGCACTTTTGTGTTGTGTTGTCAATCCTCAGTTCATCCTATTCATATATTATTCGTTAATTTTTTGGAATATTTTGATGTTTGATTGCTCTTTACTTTTCCTTCTTCTTAATATTATTATCATTACTTTGTAAGGCATGAAGTTCGCGGTTCTTGTTTTGCTTTACAATTGAAGGTTATATTATCACTTCTCAATTGTATTTTTTGTTTTTATGATTTTTCTTTTATATTAATGTTAATGTTATCATTAATCTAATAAAATCATTTTGTTAGGCAACAATTGAAGGTTTACAATCTGTTGCTTTTATGATTTAGCGTTGGTGTTAGCTAAGGTTTGAGACCTTAGCTAATAAAATGCTTTGAGACCCCTGTTGAGCTATGTAGCAAACATGGTCCATGAAAAATAGTCTAGATGTTACACTAGAGTTTACATGGTGAAGGACACATATAGCTGCAAATTAAGGAAAGGAATTTTGCCTGTATAGATTGTATTGGTAAAAGCTAAACAAATGAATCAATTATACACCAACTTGTTGAAGGATTTAATTAAGAGGAATACAAGGAATGCCGATTAATTTTTTTAATTTTTTTAATTTTTTTGGTATTGTGATGGAACATGTCGGTATCTGAAATTGTGCATATTCCGAATGCTAAGCTGATGAAGGGATTAGGATTTCACTTCGATGACTTTTGGAAGCTGTTCTAATGTTCATTCAGAATACTTTTATTTCTTTTAATTTTATGATTCATCAAATGTAAAATAAGTGCAAAGTTGTACGAGGTAGTGGCAGGTTGATAAGAACACAAAAAGGATGTAACCTAGCAAAACAGTGATAGTTAACAGAGTAGGGATTAAAAGGTGAGTATTTAGATAGGCTTGCGCCCTTTTTCTTTATTTTTTGGTACATTGCCAGGAGGTATTCCCATTCAACCTTCTCCGGGCACCATGCCCTCAGGGAATGGCTCGTTTGGGCTAGTCCCTCATTGTAACAGTGGGTTTGATCCCTGCACCGAGTAGTCCCTTAGGAGCTCAGCTGCCAACTGAGCTACCCTTGAGGGTGAGAGTTTTAATGAGAGTCAAACTCTTGTGGATAAGATAGTGTATAATATGCTGTAACGAAGTTAAACTAGTCTGTTGATTCTAGAAGCTGTTTGGGTCCATTGGGTGGGTTTATCACGAGATGTCATATACTCTGGTGAGTATAGTAAGTTGTCCATTGGGTGGGTTTATCACGAGATGTCATATACTCTGGTGAGTATAGTAAGTTGTCTGCTGCATAACTATAGTTGCTTAGAATTTATATGGATTATATTTATCTCATTCAACATAAGATAAATCAAATTCCTACACACATAACAAATGTGGGTCTCACCTCTAAAGAAAAACATTTCCCAATTTATATATACAACTGCAACCCATCGCGCTTTCTTTAAGTTCTACTTTAAAGGGAGATGATTTAATGTAATTTGCACTAACATGTATTCCATTGACCTTTGATAGTTTTGATCTCCAAAAAAAAATCTTGGGCTAAAGAGATTTGGGGGACCTAGAGCTAGCTACCATCCATATTGGGCCAGTCTTATTCAACTATCCACAAAATCAAGGACAAGGGGTTCAAAGGAACCCAAATATGGGGATGCTCGATGTCTCCGATGGCCTCCTTGATCGTAGTTTTGATTATTATTATTTTTCTTTATGTGGTTGGTTTCATATGTTGGATTTCAAACTGTTTATTGTAATGTGCAGAGATATATTCTAGCACATTGCTTTTATGTATTTCATACACCTATACATATCACAAACTGTTTTAATGTGAACTTCTATGTTACTAACAATCGTGGCAAAAAAATTAAAATAATGCATTTAAATTAAATAATTACGCATTTAATGTTGTTTTGTAAAAAATTACACATCTGTTGCACAATGAGACGCCCCCTTTGGGCGTCACATGTGACGCCCCAGTGAGGCGTCTCTCCCTTGGGAAAGACGCCCCATTGGGGCGTCTCATGTGCAACCTATATATACCTCACTTTCCTTTTTTTCACTCCTTACTCATTCACCTCTCTAACCTCTCTCTAACCGCGGTTCGTAGCGAAGCTCTGCCAACGTAGGTAAGGTCATAATACCTCATATGTATACATTTAAATTACAGTGCTAGTTAGTAATACATGTTAGGATTGATTGTATATTAGAGACTTGGAACATTAGGATAGTCACTTAGAAATTTTGTGGCATGCTATGAATGTTGTAATGATATAGTAATTTTATTATTACGTAGTTATTATTATTAATTTTTAATTATGCATTAGGGTTTAGCATATTAATTAGTGATTTATAAATAGTGTTAGGGAATGCGTAAATTTCGTATGTATGATGTTATTAATGCGGGAGTGCATAACTTTGTAGTTAGTAAGGTGTGATGATTAGTACGTATTGGACAAGTTGGTAGTGGATGTTCCTTGTAATAGACGGGAGGGACGCGGATTAGGACGTAGACGTGAGAGAGTTGCTGCTGAGCCTGACCCGATTATGGCACCGAGACCAGTGGTCGAGACTCAGGGATGATGTTACTAAGCTCTGCTCAGCATAAAGATCATTTGTTTGTATATGATAAAATGAACCTGGAGAAAAGCGAAGAATGTATTCGCACCACCTTGGCAAAAAAACATATGATTCCTCTCAATCACCGTAAATAATTGCCATCGTTTTCTGCTTCGCATACCACGCCTTTCTGTAGGAAACTTTAAAGCCATATTTAGCAGTTATCCTTTCTTGCACAAAGAGATTGACACAGATGGTTCTGACTTTATCATCCCTGCATTGAAGAGGATATCAGTGTCTCGATAACATCGAACGAATTTAATTACACGGGAGTACGTAAACATTGACATGTCAATACGATAAATAAATACGTACCTATGACGAGATCTGCAATAACGTCCGCATCGAGCTGTCTATGACCCTGGGAAATGTGCTCATTCACACATTCGCGTTTTCCACCCCATCTCGTAATCTTCCAATTTTCACGAAACACCGGTTTGATCGCCCTTACGCGCCACGAACAACCTTGATCATACGCACAACATTTCATGGACAACTTTGCAGGCGTGCTCTCAATTACAATGGCTTCTTGATGCTCCCTAATGAGGTTGTGCTTAAGTGCCATTTGGACATCTTTTTTGTCGCAAATTCTTGATTGACAAATAACATGTCACCCAGTTGCCACGGACCTTGTATTGAAGCCGATCCAGAGACCGAACCATCAGTACATGATTCTTGTTCGCTTTGATAACTCCAATCAATGTAGGAATAATGCGGAATTCCTTCCCAAAAAAGAATAGCATCTGTGTCACCTGCAATTGCGGATTATAATTTTTTAATACAAACTTACTAATTCAGGTATTAAATCAGCTATCTATTCAGCTATATACAAATGGGATCAATTACCTTCATGGTGAATACCGAACGGGGCAGACGCAACGTCATTCAACTGCGGCATTTGCGCGACGACTGGTTGATGGAATATTGGGATTTGAGACGCACCCATCTCACGGGATTCATCTCCTTCTGAAGCACTAGCATCCTCCGCCAGAAGATGTTCTTCCATTGCCATATTTTCATCGTCGTCATCGTCATCTTCGTCGTGCATTTCCCAAGTCGGATCATTTTCATCTCCCTCAGAAAAGTTACCAACTGGAGACGCATGAGCGGCAGGAGAAGCTGGAAGACAGGGAGAATTTAAATAAACTGACCTCACCGGTAAGGGAGCATTCTCAGTTGCGGCGATGTCGACATACAACTCTAGAAAATCTGTCATTGACTGGTTGCAAAATTCTTCCATTGTCATCTCCAAGTCTTCATCGTCAAGCACTTTCAAACTAATGTATTTATCACCTTGCCACACCTTGTCGTGATCTCAGTGATACATTGGTTGTCTTGAAGACTTAACTTCTGCCGAATTCTCTGATGCAGTTCGCCAATGGTTATGTTGCGTTGGATACATGTCGGCCTTTTTTCACCTTCGAAGATGACACCTCGTCGACCTTCTACCTTCCTACCATTGTAATATAACACAACACGAACAAAATCAGGATTTGATCTCATTTTTAAATAGAATAAGAAATAAAATTCAAATACTAAATTAAAGATAAAGGAATGTTAGTGGAGAAGAGAGATATGAAAAGTGAGAGAAGATGTGTGAATTGAATGGAGGGGGTGGGGGAACATATAGAGCACACATGTGATGTCACTTTTGGGCGTCATATGTGACGCCCAAAAGTGGCGTCACATTGTGCAGCATATGTGTAATTTTTTACAAAACAGCATTAAATGCGTAATTATTTAATTTAAATGCATTATTTTAATTTTTTTGCCTAACAATCGTACTTAACCAGATTATGTTATATGTAAATAAAAAAATGTTTATAAAGTGAGATAAAAAACGTTAATTATGAACAACATCATTGAGTAACGTAACGATAACAAAGGAAAGTACTAAACCCTAAAGAACAACAACATCATTGAATATTTAAATGTGCAGTACATATCGTCTGTTATGTCCGATTTGCTTACACATATCACTTACACCTCTTAGGTCGTCCCTTTGCATGCAACCGTTGTTTATTAGGGAAGAGTATCGGTCCAATATATGGTGGAATGATTTCCTTGTTCCCGATCAGATACCACCAAGGTGATGCATATACGTGATTAATATGGTGTAGCATGGATCCCCAAAATTATCATGTGTGATAGCCATATTCTGACAAACAGCCCTGACATGGCTATATGGATATTTAAACGCTTAAAACTTTACACACAGGCACTTCGTTTCATTCAAGTATAAAGACACTGAATAACCCTCTCTCTGTGTTAATGGGTTATATGGTTCTTCCACTTCAAAGAGGGTATAGTCTCTATTGAAGGTGCAGACAATGTGTGATGAGGCAATTGTTACTTCTCTTTTCATTTTAAGGTGGGCATTGTG